TTTATTTACGATCATGCAACCATCCTTTCCGTGCTTCCTTCATAAACCCAACTTTATAGTGGTGGGCATGCACGTATGGGGATACCTGCCTGGGCTTTCAGGGGCCTGAGATGGACCCTGGATGATCTCAGGGGACTTTTGGACCAGAGTTGTTGGTTACAGCCAAAATTCATTTAACCCTTAGCACAAGTCCACGAGGTGCTTTACTGAGAAAACTGGAGCCCAGAGCAGTGAGGGTTTGGTCCTGAGTCTTACAAAGGAGAAATTGCAGAGGTGGGGACGCATCTCAGCCTTGCAAATCTGAAGCTTGGGTACTGCCCCCAGAGCCCTGTTTTACACACACAATATTACATTAACTTGTTTTCTCCCAGCTCCCTGATGCTTCTCTACTTTCAAGCTCTGTTCCTTTTGGCTCTCCTCCTCCCCTTCCCCCTCTCTCCAGGGAAACAAAGCTTTGAGGTTGCACAGATCTGAATGAAATGGCCTGCAAACTGCCATTAAAGCTCTGGAGTCTCCATGTCCTTCTTAACTAGATAAGAACAACGTCCCCTTCCCGGGGACAGAACTAAATAAGATGGAGGACATTAGGAACCTTCCTCTCCATCATATCCTGGCACCCAACCACAGCAGGGTTAATCTCCCCACTTGTCAACTCAAACCCATGAGTCTGGAGGGGCACTCAAACTCAGGGAGGAGGCACAAAGCCTGAATCTGGGGTCCACTTCTCTCTTAGTCACTTTTCTATTGCTGTGACAAGACACCATGACAAAGACAACATATGGAAGACTTTATTGGGGGTTTACAGTTTCAGAGGGTGAGTCGATGATCACTCAGCGAGGAATATGGCCGCAGTTGAGCAGTTAAGAATGGTGCTGGAACAGTAGTTGGGGACTTACATCTGGATCCAAAAGTAGGAGGTAGACAAAGCTAACCGGGAATGGCTTGGGATTTTGAAACCTCAAAGCCCACCTTCCCAGATGTTTCAGCAGCTGGGGGGACCAAGCATTCAAACACCAGCCTATGGGGGCCATTCTCATTTGGGCCACTGTACCTCCTAACCTTAAATACCTTCAGCCCTGCAGCAGAGGAGGGTAAGGGAGGGCCGTGTAAGTGACTGTCATCTTTATGAGCCCTTGGGGTAGGCATACACCTGTGTGCTTCCTCTTTCCACACCTTCTTGTTCTGCCCAGTGAGTGGGAGGCAGAGACAGGTTAAACTCTGTAAGTTCAAGGCCAGCCTAGGCTGCATATCAAGTTTCTGTTGGCTACAGACTGATATCCTGTCTCAATCAATCAATCAATGCACTAATTAAAATGCATTCAAAAAAATAAATGAGAGCCCAATCCTGTATCTCTTAAATAAATTAAAATTATTTTAAAAACTGAAATACCTAGTCTGTATGGTGAATCCTCACCAGGTGAGGTGAATCCTAGTCTCAGGTGAATCCTACCAAACATTGAAAAGACATGTTATATGTCCTTACCCTAGGATCTCTTCCTAAAAACAGGAGAGATGGGTATACATCACAACCAGTCTGAGGAGCTGAGATCGCCTTTATTTTTAAATAGGAGAAAGAGACAGGAGAAGAAACCCACAGACTGCTATTCCTCAGGAGCCTAACAACTAAAATATTATGCAAAATACTAGGCAAAATACTAGGCAGGTGACTGCATCAATACACAGAAAAAAATTACACACCACTGCCAGATAGGCCTCATCCCGGAATGTCAGGCTGCTTCGATATTCAAAAGTCAATCAATGTAATCCATCACATTAACAGCCCACATTCTCCTCTCAAACGGAGATAATAAGCACGTGTTGCTATAAGCTGCTGGCTGTGCGACAGTTTGATACTCAGCGATGGATTACAAACCTAGCACAGCTGATATCCTCCTCGGCTCCCTGGCTATTTATTCCACACTCCCCAGGGGTAATCACTGGCCCAAATGTAGTGTATTTGTCCTTCCTTCCTTCCTTCCTTCCTTTCTTCCTTCCTTCCTTTCTTCCTTCTTTCCTTCCTCTCTCTTCCTCTCTCTTCCTTTTCAAGACAGGATTGCCTCTTGAACTGAGAGTCTTCCTGATTCTGCCACCCAAGTGCTGGGGTTAAAGGTGTGCGACACCATACCTGGCCATTCTATGTGCTTATTTGTAGTTTTCCTCAAAATGCTGGGGATTGGACCCAGGGACTTGTGCATGCCAGGAAAGGACTTTATCTCTGAGCTACACTCCAGTCCATATTTACAGGCCTTTAAAATTTAAATAAATAATATCCACACCGTAGGCAGCCCTTCTGTTTGTACTGTGCCTGGGGCTGGCTAGTAAATCAGTTGGTAGATGCAGCCCGCATGAAACCGGGCATGATAGCACTTGAGAGGTAGAGACAGGAGGGCTAGAAGTTCAAGGTCATCACACAGGGAGTCTAGGCCAGCCTGTGGTACATGTGACTTGTTGGTAATAATAGTAGTGTGTCCTGAAATTCATGAGTGTCGGGCCATGGCTTTAACTGCTGCGTGGCCCACCCCTCCTGTGGGTTACCTTCCTGTGAGTGTCTCCAGGTGTGAATGTGTTAGAGTTTCTCTGGGGAGAGAAAGAACTACCTGGTCCTTCTCTGTTCAAAAACTTCTCTGCCAGGCAGGGCCCATGTGAAGGTGCCAGTTGTGGTGCCTGTATTTGTGCTTTTCAGAAGGTTGGGAGCAAGAGTAATAACAGTGAGACACCCACAGGTCCTGTCTGGGTATGAAACGAACTGAGAGCCCCCACACCATCAAGGAATGCATCCATTGCAAGGATTTTGGGTGCGGTTCTTGCCCCTCCCGAAGCTCCTTTCCCCTCCATATCCTCACCCAATCCCAGCAACTTGTCAAGATCTCAGGAGGGGGCATTAGATAGCACGAGACAACAGGCACCCCTGCCTCTGGTATGATTGAGGGCAGAGTGGAGAAGAGGCAGAAGGGGGGGAAAGGGCCATCGGAGGAGTAAAGATGCCCTTGCCTCAGCAAGCTCAAGAGCTTTCCTGCCTGGAACAATGTCACCAGAGGTATGTTTGAGCGTCAGGGTCCCCTGAGACATTACAAGATGTGCATGCACACCTGTGTAAGCAAGCACACACTGCACACCACATGCACACATGAACATGAAACCAAATGCCTTGCGCACAGCACTACACACATCCCATGTGTGCACATACACACTCAACACGCACAAACACACTGTTCAGGCTCCTTCTTGACCCAATAGGAGAGCAGGGGATGACCTAAACTTAAACTCTCAGGCTCTGCCCAAGGCTTTAGGAAGTTTGTCAGCCTTAGAGTTTCATTCCTAGCTGAGGGTGGTAACTCATGCCTATGTCTACAGGATGCAGGAAATGGAGACAGAGGACCCAGGGTTCAAGACCAGTCTAAGCTACAAAGTAAGACCCTCCCCATTTTTGCTTTTAAAGTGTAGCAATGCACACAAATAATCTCCATCTCAGGAGGCTATGTAAGAGAATCACTTTAAGTTCCAGAGGCCAGCCTGGGCTATAGTGAATTCCAGGTCAGCCTGACTACAAAGTGAGACCCTCTTTCTCTCTCTCTCTCTCTCTCTCAAAAAAAAAAAAAAAAAAAAAAAAGGTTTTCCTTCTGTTTAGAGCTCTGATTTTTTTTTTTTTTTTTTGGTACCATTTTTCCACTTAATTGCACCCTTTGGGCTGCTATTTGTTTTTCAGCAGGAAAAAAAATCACTGCTTTTTTTTTTTAAGTTAGAAAAATAATCCCAGCTGGAGAGACAACTCAGCAGTTAAGAGCACACAATACTCTTGCAAAGGACCTGAGTTCAGTTCCCAGCACCCACATCAGGCAGCTTACACTTATCTGTGACTCCAGGTTCAGGGATCAGACACCATCTTCTGTCCTTCAGGGAGACTGCACTCAAGTGCACAAACCCACCCACACCTGTACACACACACACACACACACACACACACACACACACACACACAATCAATCAATGTAATGGTAACTTTTCAAATATGAAATAAATTTACAAATCTCTTCCTCCTGTGTTGTGGGGATTTTCCCATATAAACTACAGAACACAGGCAGGTTTGTTCCTATGGGTATCCTGGCACGATCTTGGACCCAGTGAGGTTTTTCTCTCATGAATTAATGAGAGACAGGGCAGTTGTGTCCCATATATTCTTTGTTTTTTAAAGTGGCTTTATAAATTTTTGTTTTTGAGATTTTTAATATAATTGTATAATTTCCCCCCTTCCCTTTCCTTCCTCCAAAATCTCCTGTATAGCCTCCTTACTCTCTATCAAATTTATGGCCTCTTTTTTCATTATTTGCTGTTTCACTAATATGCATATAAGTCTATATTCCTAAATACATAAGTACTGGTTTATGAAATGGTGATTGTGGGTTCTCCTCCAAGATCCATGACTTCACTAGCTCTGGCTAGTTATTTGGGTTTCCAGTGCTGGTACCCACTGAGGGCAATAGCAATAGCCTGGTCCCATATTATATTCTTATTATTAATGTTCCCCAAGCACTAAACAGCTTTGGCCACCAAGCTAGGCATTAAGCTAGGACGAACAACGGCATGGTTTCCCTCTTGTTGTGCTTGTCTTAAGTTCAATTAGAAAACTGTTGGTAACTGTTGTGGTGTGGTATGTGTGCAACTACTGCACTTGTGGGGTTATGGAGCCATGCTGGTCTCTATCCTGTTCAGTCATTATGCCTAGGTAGGACTATAGGTCACCTCTTTGTGGAAGCTTGCACAGCGCCTTCTGGTGCCATGACAGCTAGACCTCAGGGAGGAGGAGTTCGGGTGAGTTTCAGTGCATGGACTTCTGAGCCTTATATATGAAGTGCATGGTGTCTTCTGCAATAGGGACTTAACCTTCCACCTCTTGGGGTCAACCAAGGGCAATAGCAATAGCCTGGTCCCATGCATTTTTTTTTTTTTTTTTTTTTTTTTTTTGTTTTGTTTTTTTTTTGGTTTTTTTTTTTTTTTTTTTTTTATGTGCTCTAGGCATAAAACAGCTTTGGACACCAAGCCAAGTACTAAGTTGGGATGAACAAAGGACTGCTATCGACTTTGTGCCTCTCTCTATATATATAAAAGAACACCACCAACAAGGTGTCTCTTTGCCTATTACCAGGGGCAGGGCTCCCATATACTCTTAGCAAGGGAGGAGAGAGACTAAGGGAGTCAGGTCTAAGCTTCTGTGGATGAGGACATGAGATCTTCACAGATTCTACTGTTTCATCCCCCAGTACTGGAGCTACAGACACACATGGTTACACCTATATTGGGGCTCAAACTCTAGTCCACTTGCTTGGGCAGCAAGCACTTTTCTGGCAAAGCCATCTCCCAGGACGAGGAACTTGGGCTTTAAGACATGCACAACCCTTAACAGTTGAAGGCTCATCTTTGGAAAACCCATCGGGATCCCCTGGGCCTAGACACACAAAACATGGGCAACCTCAGTAAGTGGATAGTGACGCCTGTGGAGATGAGTCTTCTGCTCCATCTTTTCCCTAGGCCCAGGGTTGACAGCCCAAAATGTTGAGTGCTTGATAGTCCCTGCTCCTCTTTCAAAAAAAAAGAAGGAAGGAAAAAGCCCCACAACTCTATTAAAATAACAGCATGATATAGTTAATTATTCCCCCTGGAAAGTGAAAAACTGCAGGAGCACAACTCACCCAGCTCCCTGCTGTCTCATCCAGTTCCCTGAACCTGCTCCTGGCCCTGGTTATTGTGTCCGCCCCGGGAGCTTTAAGCAGTTCTGAAGATTGCTTGAGATACTTGAGACTGTCACCATCTGGGCTTCCCCTGCACTCTTGCCTCACTTCACGGGCAGGATTCTACATTCTCTACCAACTGGGCTGTCTACATTACACCCTTGTCTCTGCTTCCTTATGCTCTTTTGAGACCCTGGCTACATTCAGCCTCCTCCATGAAGGCAGTTTCGATTGCTGCAGCCAGGAGTTTCTCAAAGTGGACTCAGACCATCAGCATGGATGACAGACAGCATGTGTGAGGACCATGGTGGGGGGTAAGACACTGGTGCATACACATTTTGTGGCAATCCCAGGAGTCTCAGATCATGTAGCACACTGTCCCTTTCTAACTGTAATGGTTAGCTGTGTAAGCATAACCTAGAACCGCCTGGGCCTGTGTTGTGTGCATCTGTGCAGATTGTCTTGGTTACTAACGTCTATGGACATGGGAAGGCCCAGCCCACTGTTGGCAGCAGCATGCCCTAGGCAGGAGGCCTTGAACTGTGGAGAAAATGACTTGAGCACAAGCAAGCAACTGAGTGGTTGTGCATTCATTTCTCTCTGCTCTTAACTGTGGATGTGACAACTGGCTGTTTGAAGTGCCTGCCTTGACTTCCCCATAAGGACTGCAATTGGAATCGTAAGCTGCAACAGAACCCTGTCTCCCCAAGATTGTCAGAGTATTTTTATCACAGCAACAGAAATAAAACTAGACTAGTAGCCAACAGTCCTTCTGTGACCCCCTGTAGCACATGGCCTCCATCTCTCACCTAGACATAGGTGATGCTGGAGCCTGATGGGCCAATCACTGCAAAGAGCCTTCTCTCTACAAAACACTCTAATCCACGTTTAATGATCTGGGGTTTGGGAGCAGGTAGGGAACTGCCCCAAAGAGTGCATGAGCACGTACACACACACACACACACACACACACACACACACACACACACACACACAATGGGATTGTGTAGGGAAAACAGAACCCCACCTGTGATTCCTGCAAGCACTCAAGTGGATGGTGTCCTTTCCCTTCAAAGAAAGTCCTACAAATCCTCTTTAGAAGAGAATGTTCCACCCCAGTCTTCTAGGAGCCTCACAGACTCAGGTCAAACACAAACCCGTGATCATGGGGCTGGAGAGATGGCTCAGTGGTCAAGACTGCATACAGCTCTTGCAGAGGTCCTGGATTTGGTTCTCAGCACCCATGTTAGGTGGCACACACCTGCCTGTAACTCTGGCTCCAGGGGACCCAACTACCTCTTCTGGCCACTTCGAGCAACTGTACTCATATGCACATACAAACATACACAGAATTTAAAAATAAATCTTAAAAAAAAAAATACCCTCACAATCAAAGTTAAAAAAATACTTATCAAAGATGACCACAGTGAATTAGAGCTAGAAGAGATCATAAATGGCAGCGACAAATGCCCAAAGGGTTTCAGGGTTATCAGGTACTGACTATAAAATAATCATGCACAAAGCAATGGAAGATAGATGATAGATAGGTGTGTATATACACAGAATCTCATGTAGCCCAGGTTGGCCTCTTATCTGCTGTATGGCTAAAACTGGCCTTGAAGTCTCTTAAACTTTTTTACATATATAGTTATTGTGTGCATTGCATGTTGGAGTGAGCACATGTGCCAGTCTGCACATGTAGGTCAGAGGACACTTTACAGTGGTCAGTTCTCTCCTTTCACTATGTGAGCCCTGGGGACCGAACTCAGGCCATCAGGCTTGTCAACAAGTGTCTTTACCTATTGAGCCATCTCAGTGGCCTGAGTGCATGTTTCAATATTCAGAAGACATGAGGATGAATCAGCCTCCTCCAACACTCTGATACCCATTTCCCAAACAGAAGACGATCATGGATCCCAAACATTTGCAAATCCTACCAAGAAAAATTAATCCATACACAAAAACCATGATATTCTTAGCCCCACCCCCAGACTTTTTAGAATCTTGGCTAGGGTTTTATGTAGTCCAGGCTAGCCTCAATCTATCTATGTAGCTGAGGATGACCTTGAATCATCCCACCTCCAAGAGCTTCTGAGTTATAGGCACCTGACTCTGTGCCTAGTTTACTCAGTGTGGGGATCAAACCCAAGGCTTCATGCATGCTAGGCATGCATTCCATCTATTGAGCCACATCACCAACCCCTCCATCCCATTTTAGTGCAAATGCTACCTGCTCTTCAGGCCACTCCCATACTCTGCCCCTTTGTGGTTTGTCTTGGGATGGCCCCTGTGAGTATTTGTACAGTCCCTGCTATACTGAACTCCATTAATGGCTGTGCCGTTGCCTCTTACAGCCAGGTGCCTGACAATCAATATTGCTTTGCTTAATTTTCCTTTGCCAAAGCTCTGGTAAAATCCTTGGGTGTGGGTCCTTTCTCCTGGGGGTGAGAGAGTAGATGTGAATATTGTCAACTTCCCTGTAAACTGGGGAGTCAACTGCAAATCTCTTCAAGAAACTGCCCTGCATTAAGCCCAGCCAAAGCCACCTCCCTTCTTGGGACAGAAGGATTCACAGGAGCACTATGTCTTCACTGTGGGACATCCTCCACCAATCAATAGTTATCTGGCCAGCCCAACATTCCCAATAACCAGATCCTAACAGGAAGGTCTGACAGTGGAAGGAAATCCTCAGAGGAATCAAAGGACTCGTGTTTGCATGCACTGAGGTTTGGGTAGATGTCCAATATTTTCAAAGGGAAACATACACACACACACACACACACACACACACACACCAAAAAACATGCATGTGGTAGGTTTGTAATCAGTGTGGGAGGGATCTCTCCCATCTGGCCCCAAAGAGAAAGGGCTTTCTTACTGTGCTTCCAGGGTCAGGGGACATATCCAGGTGAGTAGTGGGTTGCCTGCCTAAGATGGACCACAGAGCCTGGCAGGTCAGGACCACCCTGATGTCTTACATCAGACATGGGGGGAACTGGGACCAGGATGGGAGAGTATCCAGACTAGAGAGTGAGGCTAGGGGCTTACTTCTTGTGAGTCTATCACAAGAGGAGGGATCTGAAAGTGACTACAGTTTTGTCTCCTCCCCAGACCCTTGGGCCCTCTATTTTATTCCAGGGGAGGGGAAAGTAAACAAAGTTTGACCTAATGAGATGGGTGGTAGTGAGAAACATAGCTTCAGTCCCTCCCTCCTGCCCACAGAGGGGTTCTGCCTCAGTCCCACCCAGTAACCTCAAGGGCAAATCCAGTCTCCAAAACCCAGCAGGAGAGGGAAGGGGGAGAACGGTTTTATTGAAGGCATGGAGATGCGGACTCCATGCTTGCCCAGCTCTCCTGCCTAGGTCAACAGCTCTGTAAATGGACCACCCAAGACACTAAGTGACCACTCACCACCATCAGTAGCTTCTGAGACCAGTGCCACCAGGTCTCCTGATACCTACCATGTATAAACAAAACTAGATCAGGGATTGAGATGGGAGTATGGGGTTAGGGGGAGGCAGGGCAACTTTACCAGCCCCTCTACCCAGAGGTCAAGTTCACTGCTACTCAGGAAGGAGGGCCAGCCTCCACATCCTTTGGCCTCCCACCTCTTGCCCCAAACCCCCTGCTCCAGGAGGGAAGTGGGGAGTGAAGAGTGGGCAAGGTTTGCAGTACCCTGTCATCACCCATCTCTGGAGCGCCCCCAGACTACCCTTTCTGACCCCTTTGGCTTTCTCTCTCTGGACACTTTGGAGGCCCTCAAGGCCACTGTAAGCGGCCAGACTCCACTCCATGGGAAGGGAATTCAGATAGGCAAGGACTGCAGCAGCTCTCAGCAAGCTTCTCTCAAATGTCCGTGGAATTCTTACACTGCACAAAAATAACTGTGCACTAAATAAACTTTAATAACAGCCTGGCTTATCTGAATCCAGGTAGCTAGATCCTGCCAGGGCTCTGAGGCTCTGTGCACCCCTGCATGGACAGTCCCCCTCCCCCAGCCTCCCTCCATCCTCCATCCAAACACCCCTTCTTTAGGAGGAGTCTGCAGCCTTTCTCGGCAAGGTGTGCCCTCATCCCCAGGCTCGGTAGCCACCCCTGACACTCGGGCTCACAGATTGAATTCTGCTCCCTCAGATTCCCTTGTTGCCACTCTAACTGGCCCTCCCAGCACCTTGCACCTCAGAGAACAGCCTTCTTGGAAGAAGGGTGTTTGCTTTTGCTGTGAGTTAAGATGAGGTCATCTAGGAGTAGCCTAGGCCATTGTCAAATATTCCTGGGACCTTTAAAAAATATGGCTGTGGGAAGAAAAAGGTATTCAGGGGAAGCTGGTATACAAACAAGTGTCCAAGACAGCGGCAAAGCAGACATTGGGAGAGAAATGGCAGCTGTCCTGTCACAGTCCACAGAAGTCCCAAATGCCAC